TGAAGCTAACACAGAGGCTAACATTGTTTTGTTTAAAGTAGTGACCAAATGTTGTCTTGTTGAGGCTAACATAGAGGCTAACATTGTTTTGTTTAAAATAGTGACTTAATGTTATCTTGGTGAGGCTAACATAGAGGCTAACGTTGTTTTGTTTAAAGTAGTGACTAAATGTTGTCTTGTTGAGGCTAACACAAGAGGCTAACGTTGTTTTGTTTACAGTAGTGACCAAATGTTATCTTGTTGAGGCTAACACAAGAGGCTAACGTTGTTTTGTTTACAGTAGTGACCAAATGTTATCTTGTTGAGGCTAACACAAGAGGCTAACGTTTTGTTTAAAGTAGTGACTAAATGTTATTTTGGTGAGGCTAACATAGCAGCCAACATATTTTTGGTAACGTAGCAGATATTGTAGTTTTGTTTAAGCTAATGTTGCCTTTTTGAGGTAACCATAGCAGCTATTGTTATCTTGTTTAGGAAAATGTTATCTTGTTTTGGCTAACATACCAAATAATGTTGTTTTTTTCCTTGGCTAATGCAGGAACTAACACACTAATATGTTATTCAGGCTAGCATAGCTTGGGTTATGGTTATCTTATTTATGCTATTTTTTTATGCTAACATTATTTTGCTTAGGGTAACATAACATCTAGCATTCTTTTGCTGCTCTTAGTATTTTGTTTACGCTTGCATAGCAGCTAATATTATCTTGTTTAGTGCGACCATAGAAGCTAAAGTTATTTTGTCTAGGCTAGCATAATGGCTAATGTTATTTTTTAGGCCAACATACTGTTTGGTTTAGGCTAACATAACAGCAAATGTTATCTTGTTTAAGCTAATGTTGCCGCTAATGTTATTTTCTTTAGGCCAACACAGTGGTGGATCCTGTGTTGTTTAGGCTAATGTTGTCTAGTTTATGGCTAATGTAGAAGCTATGGTTAGCTTGTTTAGGCGAGAGTAGTGGCTAATGTTATCTTGTCTAGGCTAACATAACAGCTAACGCTATCTTGTTCAGGCTAATATACTGAACTGTGTTTTTGTTAAGTGTATTGTAGCAGGATCTCATAATGTGAGCTAGCAGCTGCTCAAAACATTAGCAGCTGCCCTCATTACGGTCTAATCTGTCAAAACCTTGTGTGTGTGTGTGTGTGTGTGTGTGTGTGTGTGTGTGTGTGTGTGTGTGTTCAGCAGTTTATAAATAGGAGTTTATGTTGAAGTACATTAAATGTTTGTCGTATCTAATTTGGTATTATTAATTGTGGAATATTATTTTCTGTCCAAAGTGTGGCCACATATTTTTGTTTATAAAGTGTGGACCACCTTGTTAGATTGAATTCCCTTTAACTGGTTAATATCAGAGAGGTTCTTTATTAAACAAAGTCCTCTAAGTTGTCGTTAAGGTGTAACAGCACCTCTGGTATCGTTCCTCAACAGACCGTACAGAGGCAGTGAGCCTAAAGCTGCAGTAAGCTCCAGTATAAAGGAGCTCTTATGTCTCTTTCCACAGTGGCTTTGTGTACCTGGCCCTGCGATAAGCTCGTCCTGAGGATGTGCACATTTCCAACATATTCCACATTCTTCTGTTTCTTTCTGCTGTTTGCCTTTTGCTCACTTCTCTGTGTCAAAGTTGACTCGCTTGCACAAACCAGCGCACATCCGTGGACTCACCAGAACGGCGCTGAATCGCTCCTCCAGCTCTTCCTCAGGTGGCATCGGGAGTTTGGCCCCGGCCGGCCCGGTGGACCCCGGGGCCGCCGCCTTCCCATCCTTGCCCTGGGAAGCCTCGATGCTTCCTGCTGCGTTTCCCATGATTGTAAATCCAAAAAACACACATATACACAAAAACCTCAAAAATCTAACAGCGCTGCCAGAAGGATTAAAAAAAAAACAACAACTCTTGGTTCAAAGTTGAGTCCTGTGTGGCCCGTGACCTTCCATTATCTCCACGACCCCACTGTGTCGCCTCATGCTGAAGTCATTACTCGTCGATATTCTCGGACAGGCGGCGGGATGAAATCCACCCGAGCTGCTGAATGAGAGTCAGAGCTGGCTGCATTATGAAACCCTAGAAAGAGGGAAGGGGATATCCTGACAGTGACAGACAGACTGACAGCTGAAAGAGAACAGCGAGGAGGAGGAGGAGTTCAGCCTGTAGCTGCTGTCCAGGAGCAAAAAATTCAACACAAGACAACAGCAAGGTGTCACTTGTGTGAGGAGGAAAGTCAGGAGGAAACTCCCCAAGCTGCTGCAGCGCTCTCAGGTAGTTGATCTCTGGAAGTCCTCCATCTGCTGTTGGATGCTGGAAGTCTGAGGCCCTCAGAGCTTCACATCCAGAGAGAAGAGAACCAGCAGCGACTCGGTCCGACAGGACGGAGACTGAAGGCAGCAGCAGCTCCACTCAGAGCACAGCGCCTCTGGGTCCTAAAGCCTCCATGTAGGCTGCACCTGATGCTGTTTAACCCTCCAGATCCCAACAGTTCAGACTGGTTCACTCGCTGTGGGCTCATTCTTCACTGCATCATAAAGTCCTGCATCTCTATGGAAACAGAACAACCACAGCGAAAAGGAGACACAACTCACAAATGTCTTCTCTGTAGTGTGACATAAATAATATTAAAATAAAAATCCAAAGTTGCATTACTTTGATTATTTATTTTACATGAATCAGAACCTGGAGGAGCCCACAGGTGTTACTGATAATGGAAATACAGTGACCCCACATGCTGCAGACAGTCTGAGTATCTGCGTTTGTTTTCCTACTTGTGTAGCAGTTCAACCAGAAAGAGTTTTGTTCCAGCAAATGGTTAAATTTTGGCATTAAAAAAAATAAGACAAAGAGAATAAAAAGAGAAGAATGAAGTAGATGAAATATTACAGCTTTAAGCTTACATGTGGTTATTATTATTATTATTATTATTATTATTATTTAGACTAAACCAAAAGTAAACTCAACATTGTGTTTTGTTTTCTCCCCAGTGAGGATCACGTATGAAGCCATGAATCATAGAAACTGTTCCTCTGTTCGCTGTTTTCTAGCCGTGCTGCATTTATTTTATTGATCCGTTATGTTTGATGTTCCTTTAATGTTTTCCTGATGTTCTCTGTGCGAACACTGCCTGCAGTTCAGCTGAACGCTCCCTGAATGTTTGTCGCCTGACTGTCGGTCACAGCCGAGTCATTCGTGGCATTTTTTTTGCATCACATCGGTGAGCTGAAAATCAGACGATTCTTTTTAGCCTCAAACCACAATTTATAGAGTTAACATTAATTTGCTGAGTTTAACATTTGACGTGTAGTAATCAAATTCTGATGAACATTTAACAAATAAAAGCTGAACTGGATGATCTATAAAATCCAAACACAGCGTTGTTATTGTTAACATTAAAGTAAAACTCGAGGAGAATTTCTGGGTTCACTGCTTCACATTTGGTTTTAAATGTTGTGTTTGTTCACTTTCAGCTGACGTCAGTTTTACAAGGTGTTGATTGTTCTCACAGCCACAGACGGTGCTAACAAATGCCTTGTTTTGTCCAAAAACGAAAAATATTTAACTTACTATAAGCAAAAAAGCAGGAAATTAACAAGAAGAATCAATAAAACGAAACTTAACAAATGATTGAAGCGTCTACTGGCCTCCAGAAGTCTAAGAATATGAGCGCATCTCTGATTTTTAGCTACTTGTGAATTTATTTTTTTGTCTTTTATTAATAGTTTAAAGATAATTTGGGGAATTACATGTGTTTGCCTTCAATCCAGAGAGACAGTTCAGGTCTGTCATTAAAAAAAATACGCAAAATGTGCTCAGATTCACAAGATAGGAGTAAAATCTGAGCACAACAAGAATGACGTTTATCCACATTTCTCTGAAGATATTTTCTCACATCACGGCAGGAAAATCAGGTTTACGGCGACACCAAAATAGACGATAAATGCAATTAATCTAAAGTCCGTATTTCACACACTGACAGACGTATGATTGATGAAACAGCCTGGATCTGATGTTTTTGTTTGTTTATTTTGTGACGTCTGACTCCACGACGTGTGAAAATGAGTTTATAACGAGAACAATCAACACAGAATGAACACAGTGTGCTCAGAGGAAGCAGAGCAGCAGTCGGTGTTTCACCCTTTGGCCAAAACGCTGGCAGCTCACAGAACCAGATCCTGATCAAAGCCTCATTCATACTTTCACGTTGCGTCACCGCAAAATCCCGTAACACCCGAACGCACCGCCGCGGTTGTAGCGTGGCCGCAAAGAGGATCAGCTCTTAAGCGCAATCATAAGTTGAATCAGCAGCAGCAACGGTGACGCAATGTTTGAGTTGCTGGAAGGTGGAAGCAGTCAATAAGTAATGAGCTGATACCTGAGTGTCTGGACGCACCTGGTGGGCGGCAGGTCGGCCGCTGATGAAGCGTTTATGGGTTCACGGTGATGGTACAATCCCAAGAATCTACTCTATATGTTTCTACACATCTACCTAATACGCTACGATTATGCAGCGTGATGGAGCTGCAGGGAGGAGGTCGGGGTGGATGGTGGCCACACAAAGCACAGGACCGGAACCGAGTCCAGAATCTGATGTTTCAGCAGCACATGATGAGTTTGTCAGATTAAAGCACAGATCTCTCACTAACTTTAACACTTAAAAATAACAGCATTTAATATTCAGACTAGCCTGTTAAATCTGTATTTCATACATATAATATTATAGGTTTACTATTTATACTTGTTTCATTCCTTTATTGTAATTTATTTTGTTTTATTTTACCAAAGTGTTTCCCTTAATTTACCAAAACATAATACGATTTAAACGAATCAGGAACATTTGTACAAGACATGAATAATAACAATATTATTTATAATAATAATTATTATTCTAAATGATATTGTTTGATCTAAATCAGTCACATAAATGTGTTATATAATGTTAAAGGGTCTTTACTCAGTCGTGCATATTATATTATATTATGGTTTTAGCATTTATCATTTTATTATAGTTTAGTTTATAAAATCTTTATTTTTATTTTATATATGTATATATATATAGAGAGAGAGAGATCAATTTGTGTATATAATATATATAATATTGTAGGATAATACTTTAGACTTTATTATTTAAAACAGTCAGATACATTTGTGAAGTTTTATGTTCATTGTATTTACACTTATTCTAGTTTTTTAATGTTTTTACTTTTGTTTTGATGTTTGTTTGTTTCTTGTTTTTACCAAAAAGCTTACGTTACCCAAACACACCAATATTTAAATATGTACATTAAATAGTATTTTAGTTTTGACTTGATTTTATTTTATCAGTGAGTTTAGTTTGTGTAACACAACAACACTGAATATTTAAAGTAGTCAATAAATGAGCATGGTATTTATTGTATGGGGTCTTAACACTAATATTTAAATAACTCAGGTTAATAATATGTGTAATAAATAATATTTTTAGGTTTTAACTTTCATATTAAAATGAGTCGGGTAAATCTTTATGGTATTTATACTAATTTTATTTTTTCTATCATCATTGTGATTTATTTTATTTAAGTGCATACATACCAAACAACAACTTACATTTAAACTAATCACTTACATATCCATCCATCCATTTTCTATACACCGCTTAATCCTCATTAGGGTCACGGGGGGGCTGGAGCCTATCCCAGCCGACTTAGGGCGAAGGCAGAGGACACCCTGGACAGGTCGCCAGTCTATCACAGGGCCACACTGAGGGACAGACAACAAGCACACACACATTCACACCTACGGACAATTTAGAATCACCAATTAACCTCAACATGTTTTTGGACCTTGTGGGAGGAAGCCGGAGAACCCGG